TTCTTCAAAATAGACTTGCCCAGGCCGTGATATTTTGTGGAAGAGCCACACTCAAGGGGCCAAAGAGCCGCATGCAGCTCGCAAGCTGCAATTTGCTGACCATGGGGCTAACCTGTGCTTTTTCTTGACTTTGTAAGTTTTCCCTTTTCCCCAAAGAAAATCTACCCCTTGAGCTAGTGGTTATCAAATTTTAGTGTGTCTTGTAATTGGTGGGCTTGTTAAAACAGAGTTTTGGGCCCCACTTCCAGAATTTCTGGTTCAGGGATCCTGGAGTGGGGTCTGGGAATCTACATTTCCAGCTCGTCCCCAGATGATGTTGATAGTGTGGTCAGGGGAGAACCCGTGCTAATTCATGTAGTGTGTCTGTGATAGAAATCAGCTCTGTTGCCTACCACAAAAAGTCCCTTTGCATAACCTTCTCCTGGGCGTAACCATTATTCTTTCTTATGCCTTACATGCCTTTATAGTTTTACCACATAAGTAGGAATCCTTAACCAATAGATTTGGTCTTTATTTCAAAGTTATTGTTTTAAAGTTATGGAAAACACATTATTCCTTAAGGGTTTTATATAGCTTGCTCTTTTCCCCCACTCACATCCAGGGTACAGTTATAATTAATTCAGTTTTATTGTATCCTATTCTTTTGTGTGAATATACCTATTGACAGACATTTGGCTTCTTATCAGGTTTTTGCTAGGAAGATGCTATGAGCAGCTTCTTCTTTACTCCGTCATAGCATCACCCTCAATTTATGAAAGGACCCAGTCTAGAGGGAACTCTCTGTCCTCTAGATCTTCCCCAAATCCTAACATCCCCTTATTGAGACACCCAGTGGTGTGTGTTCTCCCTTGCTCAATGAGTAATGAACTCAATTACAGAAGTCCCTATGGTCTTTAGCTGAAGGGCATCCTATATAATAAAAGGCTAATATGCAAATTTCCCCCAAGCCTGGGAGTTCGACCCAACAAGCCTCCCACTTACTCCCTCCCCACCTCCCCCCCCCCCCCCGCCAGTGCATGAATTCGTGCACTGGCCTCTAGTTGAAAAAATACTTTTACATATAAAATATGTAAGTACTTAATTAATATAAAGTTAAAATATCTTAATATTCTTAACTGCCTTTTGGGGAACAGTAGTTATTAATTTTAGTTCAAGTTTTTAATCTCTTCCTTTATAGTTAGTGCTTTGTAATGTCATATTTAAGAAATACTGCTTTGGCCACAATTTAACTCAATTGGTTAGAGCGTCAGTCAGAGGTTTGATCCCTGGTCAGGGCACATAGAATCAACCAATCAATGTAAATAAGAGGGACAACAAACAGAGGTCTCTTTCTCCCTCCCCGCCCATACTTTCCCGCTCTCTCCCACACTTAATTTCTTTCTAAAATCAATCAATAAAAAATAAATACTCCAAGATCATACAGATATCTATTTTTTAAATTTCAAACTTATATCTTTAGTTCATCGGAAACTCATTTTTTTCTGAGTGACACCATATGTGTATAGAGATCCAATCTTGTATTTTCCTATGTGGTAATCATTTTTCCTAGCACCAATCTATAGTAATTCCTTTTCTGCTTTTCCCCACCTATGCAGAACCACTTTTTACCATTGTTAACGAAAAAAAACCATTGAAACCTGCAAAGAATTTTTTTTGTGAGTTTATTTGAGCCTTACTGTGGACATATGCTGGGAAGCAGAACCTCAACGGATTGAGATAATGCTCCGGAGAATGGCGGATTACATTTCTCTATTTATACACTGAAATCAAAGGAGGGACATAGGTGGGTTACATGAAATTCATTGGTGATGGAGTAAGGAGGCGGGAGAAAGCAAAGCAGTGGGAAACTCCTGGGACTGGATAAAAAGTAAAATGATGGACTATACTCAGGTGAGTGCAGGAACAATTAACATGATAACGAAGGAATTTGAGGCATCTGTCCTGGCGTTCACCACATTCGGTTGTGCCCCAGGGGCTCCGGAAAAAGGGAAGTTACCCAGACATCTCATAGATATGTTATCTTAGAGGAAAAAAGGCAAATGGGCTCAGTAAAAAGATCAAAGTTGATCTTTGTCTGGGAAAATATCTGGGACTTGACTACCTACTATATATAACATGTTAGATATTTAATTTTCAAACCATCTTTTGTAGTTATCTTAGGTCTATGGGTTTGCAAGACTGTCACGCAGGCCTTCCCTGAGCTTGTCAGGTTAGCATGTGGCTCTTTTCTTTCACACCATATATTAAATTTTTATCTATTCATGGGTTGGATTTTAGATTTTTAAAAATCTAATAACAGCCGAAACCGGTTTGGCTCAATGGATAGCTTGGGGACTGAAAGGTCCTGGGTTCGATTCCAGTCAAGGGCATGTACCTTGGTTGCGGGCATATCCCCAGTAGGGGGGTGTGCAAGACGCAGCTGATCGATGACTCTCATTGATGTTTCTAACTCTCTCTCCCTTCCTCACTGTACAAAAATCAATGAAATATATTTTAAAAAATTAAAATCTAATAACAAATACAGATTAAGACTTTAAGATTGAAGTTTACAAGACTTGTAAAAATACTTTTTAGATTAGTACATAAGTCACAAAACTATGTATAAAAATCAATGATGTTTAAATTGTTATCAGTTGATGTAATGATTCAGTAATTAAACTGATCAAGTTTTTTAAAAGATATAATTCAGAGTGCAAAAAGTTTAGTAAGACTATGGTAGACAGAAGGCCAATTTCACTTCAGAGATGTGTGTGTACTTAACAAAGTGATTGTTAGTGGATTTTCATAAAACTCCCAAATGGCACACAGTGTGTTTTTTTTTTATTATTATTATCTTACATAGATACATTATATCCCTCCCTTGTGTTTTTATATAGTGGGAGAATGTAAACTTTGAATTTTATATAGTACCCTGGCTGGGTAGCTCAGTTGGTTAGAGCATCATCCTGATACCCCAAGGTTTCAGGTTCAATCTTTGGTCAGCACACATACAATCAGCAACCAATGAATGCATACAGAAGTGTAACAACAAATGGATGTTTCTCCCCTTCTCCCTCTAAGATAAATAAAATAAAGTTTTATATAATAGTGAGGAGGAAACTGGTCTTGCAAAGCATATCAGGCCATAAAAACTGTAAACAATGCACTGCGGAGGAGGGGGCAGGGAGGGTGGGTATCGCTGGCCATATCTGTGATCTGTCCTGAGGACCCCCAACACCTGGGGGCCTTCCTGTAGCCCAGGAAAGGGGGCGGAATCATCTGTAAGACAAAGACCCCAGAAGATTATAAAAAGGGAAGCCCTCTGTGTGTTTCTTCACTCTGATTTGGAAATTATTCCGGGAGTCCACTACGGGGTCTCTCCCTTTCTCTAGGAAATGTGCTTAGTATTTCTTTGGTCTTCGGCAACAATAGGAATATAGAAACCTTGTCTTTTGAAGACACAGGAGAGTTTGAAATAAAATGGTAAAAGTAGGAATAGATCGGAAGGGTGGGAGGGAGAGAATGCCCCCCCCCTCCACGAAAAAACAACAACAACACACACACACTCACACACACAAAGAAAACATGGATTGATTCATAGATTTCTGCACTTAGGGGGACAAGAGAAAATAAGTCTAATGTGGCCCCAGTGTTGAAAGTTACAGAAATTTAAGATGATGAATCACTGACATATTTGAGTAAGGTAGTGAGGGGGTGGCCTGTTTGGGGAAAAAGATGTTTTGTTTTGTTTTTTTTCTCCCAAGTCTGTTGCTTCTAAACTTTCCTCAGGAAAATTTTCAAGATCTTTGAAATCTGTGTTAAGCCTCCAAAAGTAAAAAAGTTAAAAATCCAAAGCTTTAGATGGCTAATTAAAAAAATTTGGTCAGTTTTTCTTAAATAGGTAACAAGTGCCTAATTTTTCATGTAAATTCATTGTTTTTTATATTTTGTTGATTTTTTTTTTTTTTTTTTTTTTTTTACAGAGAGGAAGAGAAAGGGATAGACAGTTAGAAACATTCATGAGAGAGAATCATCCATCAGCTGCCTCCTGCACACCCCTAACAGGGAATGTGCCCCCAACCCAGGTACGTGCCCTTGACTAGAATCTAACCTGGGACCCTTCAGTACGCAGGCTGACACTTTATCCACTGAGCCAAATCGGTTAGGGCTGTTTTAAACATCAGATTCCAGTAGTATATAAACCGGATCCACAGAAAGCAGTCCAGGAAAGAGATCAGGCTCTTCCTTGAGGTTCTGCCACTCCTCTCTGTGGCAATGGGGATAAGGTGTACAGATCTGAGATTCCAGTATGGCCTATGGGCTCTATATAGGATCCCTACATTTCCTCCTAGCGCGAAAGTTCTAAGTCTCCCTCCTTAAGCAAGAGTAAAATGTATCCCTGTGAATTCAACTTATCCTGCGGTTGGGCTGCAGCCACGCATTTGTCAGGGGCGTCACAGGATCACTTCTCCCCAGTTCTCAAACCCTGGGGCTTCCGGTGGCCCGGCAGTGGATAGGCTCTGAAGGACTCCAATCGTACAGGTAAGGTCCTCGGCCAGGAAACGTCCAAAACAGGAACACCAAAGGGTGCTCCCTCTTACAGCCTCCGTCACAACAAACCGCAGGCCAGAGCTGCAAAGGCGCGCGGGCGTCGCACCTGCTTCCTGCGGGCCACGCTTTCCACCCGGTAAGCCCCCCGCCCTTTTAGTTCGCTTTCCGGCCAGAAGCTCTTTTCCTGCCGAAGCCGGTGTGGACCTATGTCTTCGGAGACTCGCTCGGACTTCAGAGGAGTCCTGAGAAGTGGCCTAAGCAGGACTCTGCGAGGATGGACGCCCGGGCAGCCAAGAGGGGAGCGCGCCGGGGTCGCAGGGGCGCGCCCGGGCCACGCTGGGAACTCGGGGCGCCTTGGCCCCGCCTGACCCGGAAGGGCTGGAGCGTGGTAACCGCGGCTTCCCTAGCAACCGAGCCTCGGTGCGCGTCCCGACCCGCCGCTGCAGCCTCTCGCTGGGCCCGCCTCCGGGATGCCCCTGCAGGTCAGCGATTACAGCTGGCAGCAGACGGAGTCCGCAGTCTTCCTCTCCGTGCCGCTCCGGGGCGTCTCCGTCAGGGACGCGGACGTGTTCTGCGCGGAAAACTACCTGAAGGTAGGAGCGCGGGGGCGCCCGCCGCCGGCGCCAGGGGGTGCCCCGCGGCGCCGGGAGTGCGCCCCTGTGCGCGCGCATCGGGCGCGTCCGTGCACGTGGCCTCCCCAAAAGTTAGTGCCATGGAAGCCCCCAACGAAGGCATTCCATGCAGGTGGCACCAGATGCTATCAAATCAAATCCGAGAGTGTTTTTATGCACAGCTTCCCGCATAAGCCGGGCGAATCTTCCGCGACCTGGAGTAAATTTATAGCATTTATTTAAGAAATAATTGTGGCCGAAACCGGTTTGGCTCAATGGATAGAATGTCGGTTGACTGAAGGGTCCCGGGTTCGATTCAGGTCAGGGGCATGTACCTTGGTTGCGGGCACATCCCCAGTAGGGGGTGTGCTAGAGGCAGCTGATCGATGACTCTCATTGATGTTTCTAACTCTCTCTCTCCCTTCCTCTCTGTACAAAAATCAATAAAATATGTTTTGTTTTGTTTTTAAAGAAATGATTGTGGTCTCTATCACGTATTTCTTGATGGCTGTGTTCTTAGTTTGTGGAACTAAATTAATTTTCGTTTCCTCCCCTTCCGAATAGGTCAACTTCGCTCCATTTTTATTTGAGGTGTTTCTCTACGCTCCCATAGACGATGAGAGCAGCCAGGCCAAGATTGGGAATGACGCCATTGTTTTCACCTTACGTAAAAGAGAAGCCCTTATGTGGGAGGCCCTTTCTGTGTCAGGTGGTAAGTTCTTCATTACAAGATGTTTTTATGTTTTATGCCTTTGAAAAAATTTGTCTTTTGAAACAATTATGATGCTCTTCTAGAAAAAAGAAATAGGCACACGAGCATGATTCAAATGAGATAGTGCTTCAGCTGCCACTTAAATAACCTAAAAATGGAATGATTCAAAAGTTAGAGCACATTAATAATTACTCTTGCCCTGGCCTGTTTCGCTCAGTGGTTAGAGCGTTGGCCTGCAGATTGAAAGGTTCTGGGTAGATTCCTGGTTAAGGGCAGTTACTCTGGTTGCAGGCTCAGCTGGGTCGTGGTGTGTGTGGGAGGCAACCAGTCCATGCGTCTCTCGTGAATAGATATTTCTCTCTCTGTATCTCTCCCCATCCCTTCCATTCTCGCTTAAAACACACACACACACACACACACACACACACACACACAAAACAAAAAAAAACAAACAAAAAAAACACACACACACACACACAACAAAAATCAATTTTAAAAATGCCCTCAGGTGAGGATTAACAACAAGATAATAATAATAATGATAATAATAATAACTCTTAAGCAGAAAATGTGGGCTTATAACCTTTATTGAGCACTTATTTTGTACTAGGAATTAACACATCTGCTAATCCTCATAACAACCTATCACTTGAGCATACCCCACTGCCTGCCTTTTGTAATTATTTATTTATTAAAAATATATTTTATTGATTTTTTTATAGAGAGGAAGCAAGAGGGATAGAGAATTAGAAACATCGATGAGAGAGAAATATCTATCAGCTGCCTCCTGCACACTCCTTTCTGGGGATGTGCTCCCAACCAAGGTACATGCCCTTGACCGGAATCCAACCTGGGACCCTTCAGTCCACAGGCCGACACTCTATCTACTGAGCCAAACAGGTTAGGGGCCTGCCTGCCTTTTTTAAAGGTGAGGCTACTGTGGCACTGAGAGTTTAGTAATTGACAAAGGTCACTCAACTAGTACGTGCTAGATTGAAATTGGAGGTTTAGCAGTTTGTAGAATGGTGGCTCTCAACCCTGGCTACATAATTGAAACATCTTAGGTCTTTTAAGTAATACAGAGGTCTTAAACCCTAGGCCAATCAAACCAGTTTCAAGGAGTGGGCCCCAGTGTTGGTAGTTTATTAAAAAGCTTCAGGGATTATAATGTGTAAAATTAAGTTTCCTTATTCTCTCTACTCTTTGCTTAAAATGTATTTTTATTGATTTCAGAGAGGAAAAAAGAGGGAGAGAGATAGAAACATCAATGATGAGAAAGTCATTGATCGGCTGCCTTTTGCAGACCCCACATTGGGGATTGAGCCCACAATCTGAACATGTGCCCTGACCACGAATCGAACCCTGACCTGATTAATAGGTTGATGCTCAACCACTGAGCCACACCAGTTGGTCCTCTGTCTCTTAATCTTTACTCTTTTCTTCTGCCAACATAGCTTTGTTGGTTAGCACATGCCCTCTGCTGCTTTAGCTCTGTCTTCTTCCTCCCTCTTCTGGTTTTCATGTTTTACAGTATTTTATATCTGCTGCCTGAAATTTCTCTTAATTCTTTGGTAGTGGGGAATACTAAGAATGGAGAGATTGCCCTAGCTGATTTGGCTCAGTGGATAGAACACCGGTCTCCTGACTGAAGGGTCCTGGGTTCCATTCTGGTCAAGGGGGTTGCAGGCTCAATCCCCCACCCTGATTGGGTCACATGTGGGAGGCAACCAATCTATATGTCTCTCTCACATCAGTGTTTCTCTCTCTGTCTCTCCACTCTCTCTAAAAATATCAGTGGAAAAATATATTCTGGTGAGTATTAACAACAACAAAAAAATGGAGAGTTTGCAATCATTCTTTATAGAAATACTTTATTGGTATCTTGCAGTGGAATTTAATTTTTAATCTTCAGACATAGAATGTACACATTAATGTAGGTTACCATAGCTAGGTTACATTTGTGAGGCCCAGACTAACAGGAGTTCTTTTTAAAAAAACAACAGCAAACAGATTCCTACTCTCATGCCCCAGCCTTCCTCTGTGATTCAGTAAGCCTGCGGTGGGACCTGGAATATGTCATGAAATACATTCAGGCTGTTCCAGCTTCTTACCTGAGATTAAATGTAAATCCTTTCATTAATTTCAGTTCTTGTTGATAATCTTAATTTTGCCGGAACTGTCATCTGTTATAATGGCTTATCCTATATAATAAAAGTAATATGCAAATTGATCATCACTCCAACACACAAGATGGCAGTCACAAGTTGGCCAGCATGGGAGGGAAGATGGGAGGGACCACAAGATGGCCTGCAAGGGAGGGCAGTTTGAGGGAGGGGACCCAGGCCTGCAGGGGAGGACAGTTGGGGGGGACCAGGCCTACAGAAGAGGGCAGTTGTGAGGAACCAGGCCTGCAGGGGAGGGCAGTTAGGGGTGACCAGGCTGGCAAGGGAGGGCAGTTAGGGGCAACCAGGCCAGCAGGGAAGGGCAATTGGGGGGAACCAGGCTGGCAAGGGAGGGCAGTTAGGGTGACTGGGCCAGCAGAGGAGGGCAGTTGGGGGTGACCAGGTGGCAGCGGAAGGCAGTTAGGGGCAATTGGGCTGGCAGGGGAGCAGTTAGGCATCGATCAGGCTGGCAGGGGAGTGGTTAGGGGGTGATCAGACTAGCAGGCAGAAGAGGTAGTGGAGGCAATCAGGCAAGCAGGCAGGTGAGCGGTTGGGAGCCAGCAAACCTGGATTGTGAGAGGGAAGTCCAACTGTCTGTTTAGACCAGATCCCAGTAGAACCGGGCCTAAACTGGCAGTTGGACATCCCTCAAGGGGTCCCAGATTGGAGAGGGTGCAGGGTGGGCTGAGGGACACCCCCCATCCCCATGCACAAATTTCATGACTGGGCCTCTAGTCTATACTAATAAAAGGGTAACATGCTAATTAGACCAGGAGACCTTTAGGACAAAGCCATGGTGGTGGGGCTGAGGCAGAGGCAATTAGAGACTAACAGGCCAGCGGGGGACTAGGGAGTGGGGAGGGGCAGTTGGGGGAGATCAGGCCAGTTAGGGGCGCAGTTAGGGGTGATCAGGCTGAAAGAGGGGAGCAGTTGGGATTGATCAGGCCAGCAGGCAGAGTGGTTAGGGTGATCAGGCAGGCAGGCATGTGAGTGGTAGGAGCCAGTGGTCCCAGATTGTGAAAAGGATGTCCGACTGCCGGTTTAGGCCCGATCCTTGAGTATAAACTAGCAGTCAGACAGCCAAGGCGCCTGGAGTTCCCAGCGTGGCCCCAGGCGCGCCCCTGCGACCCTGGCGCACTCCCCTCCTGGCTGCCTGGGCATCCATCCTGGCGGAGTCAGGGCACATGCCCGGGTTGGGGGCTCAGTCCCCAGTGTGGGGTGTGCAGGAGGCAGCTGATCAATGATTCTCTCATCATTGATGTTTCTTTTTTTAATTTTTATTAAATTTCTTTATTGATTAAGATATCACATATTTGTCCTCAATCCCCCATTCCAATCCCCCACCCCTCCCCACTCAAGCCCCCACCTCCCTATTATCCTTGACCACTGGTTAGGCTCATGTGTATGCACACAAGCCATTTGGTTGATCTCTCCCTTTTATTCCCACCCTCCCTTTGAGATCCAACAGTCTGACCCATGGCTCCCTATCTCTGGGTCTGTTCTTGTTCATCAGTCTATGTTGTTCATCATTTCCCCTAGATGAGTGTGATCATGTCCTACTGGAGATATACTTATAAAAATTCAAAATGAGACAAGCAATAATGGTTATGCTGAAAGGCATATGAATCACATCATTGATGTTTCTATTTTTCCCTCTTCATTCCTCTCTGGAATCAATAAAAATATATATTTTTAAAAAACATTATGAGGGGCCTATAAGGCTTTAACTCTTCTGCTAAAGGATCTGTTGCACCAAATAGGTTAGGAACCGCCGAAACCGGTTTGGTTCGGTGGATAGAGCATCGGCCGCGGACTGAAGAATCTCAGGTTCGATTCCAGTCAGGGGCATGTATCTTGGTTGCAGGCACATCCCCAGTAGGGGGTGCGCAGGAGGCAGCTGATCGATGATTCTCTCTTATCGATGTTTCTAGCTCTCAATTTCTCTCCCTTCCTCTCTGTAAAAAAAATCAATAAAATATATATATTTTTAAAAATTGGGAACCCCTGTTTCATCCCCACCCTGCCCTCTACTCTTCTCTCCCCCAGGTCACCCTCTCCCCTCAAGTTTCCTCCCCTGTTTTTTTGCCCCTCCAAGTCTAGCGTCCTTTCCTGATCCCACTTCCCCTAAGGTAATTTACCCTCTCCCTAATGGACTGCAGCCTGTGTGTAAAACACATAAAAATAATTGTGAATGGTAAAATTCTATATATAACAAGTCATGTTACTTTATAATTTTTCCTAGGGCTGGCTCTGTACTCATATGTATAAATTACCTTTTATGTTTATAAAGGTGATTGATCATATCAGATAGTCTCAACTCATTTTTTTCTATACCTCATATTGCTGATTTATTGCAATCAGGTTTATAAACAAATAACTTTCTCAACAGAGAGGAGGGTAAGTGTGTTTCTCCTCAACTTGTCTCCTCCCCGCTATCTTTCCTTCTCCCTCTCTGACCCGCTCTCTTTCTGCTGTCCTTTCCCTCTTGTACCTCTCTGTTCTATCTCTCTCCCTCTCTGCCCTTCCTCATTTTCCCCTTTATTCCCCCCTCCGTTGTTCCTCCTCTCTTTCATTCATATTCTGCCCCATCCACTCATTCTGTAGTAATTTCTATACAGTTACTCACTTACCTTTTAATGTTAGCTTCTTGGCCAGTTTAATATTGAGAAACATTTTCATTTCTCCGTGTGAAGTTGGGTCCAAAAAATATATCATCCCGAGTCATAATCTTAAGCAGTTCTCTCCTAAATACTAGTAAAACAAATTTATCAGAATCCTAATTTAGTGATATTCCTTCTGTTTTAGTTGACAAAGAGATGATGCAAAAAATAAGAGAACAATCTATTTTAAAAGCACAAGAAAGAGCAAAAGAAGCTACAGAAGCAAAAGCTGCAACAAGGAGGGAAGATCAAAAATATGCACTAAATGTCATGATGAAGGTAAGTTGCAAGTAGGAAAGTCCTCTAATTAAAGAGATGATAATAGACATGTAAGGATAAGTAGTCCTAACCACTACACTTCCTCACCTCTTTGTTCATATGTTGGTTATTGGACTTACTAATAACTAACTTAATAAGTTATCTACTGCTTACATGTGTTCCTGAAAATATTTATGAAAGTTGAATAATAAAAGATTTACTTGTTTCAGTGAGAATTTTCTATTTCCAGGGGAGTCAGAAATGGAAAGGTTTTATGGTGTATTTTACCTCTTTCTTAATCTTGGAATAATGAACACAATAGTTTAAAGCAAGAAAAACACTAAATATTGACAAATTAACTTTTTTTTAACTGTTGAGGATTTCAAGTTAGAGCTTCAATCAGCAATATTTTTTGAGGTATAACTCACCATACAATTCACCCATTTAAAGCTTACAATTCATTGGTTTTTAGTATGTTTAGAGTTGTGCAACCATCATCACAATCAATTTTGGAACATTTTCATCACCCCAAAAAGAATCCCAGCCTAGCAAGTTTTGCTTAGTGGTCAGAGAGTCCGCCTGCGGACTTGGGTTCAATTCTGGTCAAGGGCATGCACTTCTGTTGCAGGCTCTATCATCCCCAGCCCTTGTTTGGGTGTGTGAGAGAGGCAACCAGTCAATGTCTCTGTATCTGTCTCTATCCCCCGCTTCCACTCTCTGGAAAAATTAATGGAAAAAATATCCTTGGGTGAGGATTAACATACATACATACATAAGTATTTTTTAGTTACTTGCATAGATTTTAATTGTGGAATCAATCTAGTCTCCTTCAGATATATAGCTGCTGATGTCTAAGCTAAGGTTTTTAGTTCATGTTTTTTAGACTAGCTTCCTTAGAGGCTCTTCCCTGTGTCTGTATAGCTTAATTGTTAGCTCATGATTTGAGCAGAGGTGATAAAGGTTCCTCCCTTTGCCAATTGATGTATGTATAGGTTTGAGAATACTTTCAAAGTTGGAGCCAGTTCTCATGCCTCCTTTGCTTCATTTTAAGCCAGTTTATCACTTTTTTTTCTTTCTCTCATTTATATGATCTTTGTGTGAATTTTCTGTCTAGTCAGGCACTTACCCTAACCGGGAGCACAACCTCAGACATCTACTGCAAAATTTTCCTGTTTATTCATTCCCAACCAAATCTACTGCTTTTATCCACCAAAGCCACTGGGTTTGGCTGTCCTACCCTGAAGTGGGTCCACCTTTTTTGCCAACAAAGCTTCTATTTTTTCTTATTTTTTATTGTTGTTGTTGCTAGCTTCATGTTGGTAACCTCCAGTCTTGTTATTCTAGCTGGAAGTTGGTGGTTGAGACCAACCTCAGGCAGAAAAACAGTTTCCCACTGTTCTTAGCTGTAGCTTATGCAGTTTTTCCAAAATAAACACGTCTCAATTTGCAGGCTGTCTTTGGTTAATTTCCAGTGCCTTGAAATGGTTGTTTTTGATAAATTTTTCCAGTTTTACACTTGACTAGAGGCCTGGTGCACGAAATTCTTGCACTCGGGGAGATCCCTCAGCCTGGCCTGTGCCCTCTCGCAGTCCAGGAGCCCTTGGAGGATGTCCTAAGCTGCAGTCGGACATTGTTAGTGCTGCCGCAGAGGTGGGAGAGGCTCCTGCCACTGCCACTGTACTTACCAGCTGTGAGCCTGGCTTCTGGCTAAGTGGTGCTCCCCTGTAGGAGCACACTGACAGCTCCTGCATTGAGCATCTGCCCCCTGGTGGTCAGTGTGCGTTATAGCAACCTGTTGTTCTGTTTGGTCTATTTGCATATTAGCCTTTTATTATATAGGATATTTGTAGGTCGGAACTGCCAGCCTCTTCATGCCTCTATAAAACTGGAACATTTTGTTTTGCAGATGAATTTTACATTTATTTATCAGAAGTCTAAGAAGTCCTCTTGATATTTTGAATATATTTATATTGATTTTAGAAATTCATTTGTCATTAACATATTTACAATAATGAGATTTCTCTCCAGGGACATACCATTTATCTCCATTTCTTTGACTTACTTTATATCCCCAGCAGAATTATTTAACAAAAGTGAGACTTGTTCATCTATACATATCCAAAATGTCCCCTTGGGTGTTTGACCAGGAGACCAGGAGTTCAGTCACTCGTTATGATGTGCAGTGACCACCAGGGGACAGCACAAAACATGTTGATGACCAGCAGTGGCAGTGGCCGGGTGCTAAGGGAGCAAGGGAAGGAGGAGGCAGGGAGGCAGGGGGAAACATGTGGTGGCAACATGTAGGTGGGCAGTGAGGGAAGGAGAAGGCAGGGAGGCAAGAAATCTGATCAGCCCTGATTGCTGACTAGTCCTAGGGACCTTACCCATGTATGAATTTTGTACATTGGGCCTCTAGTATTTCATAAAGCTTATTCTTAGCCTTTTAAAAGTTTTTCTGGCAGTTACTAATGAATGATTTTCCACCGTATTTTCTAATCGTTTATTGCCAGTTTGTAAGTAAGTTAATTTATTTTTATGAGTTTGTGTGAGTTGATCTTGAAAGTGAATGCCTTGCTGAACTTACACTTTGGTTGCAATAGTTTGTCAGTTTGTTATTTTGGTTCTTTTAGGTATTCTGTCATATTATTTGCAACTAATGACATTCTATCTCCTTATAATCCATATTTATGTTTCTTATTTTAAAAATTCTATTGTATAGGTTACCTCTAGGAAAATAGGAAAATAGTAGGCATATTGGCCTTAGTGACTTTGCTAGTAGTACTTCCAGTGCTTCTCCATGAAATTGGACATTGTATGGGTCCTTTTAGCAAGCTAATTTTTTAATGTAGTTTCAGGTATCAACTAATATTTTGCCATGTACTGAGGTCATGTTGTTTTTCCCTTTAGATTTTTCATTATCATATATAAGAAACACCCTATTTGATCAAGAACTATTATTTAATACTTTCCTCAGATTAGTGTGCTAATATTTTATTTATGAATTTTTGCATATAGTTTATAAGTAACATCTATAATTATAAAAGCATAATATGCAAATCAAACAAATGGCTGAACAGCGGAAAGACCATCTGGACGACCTCCTGATTGAAGCCAGGGCTGCAAAGGCCAAGGCAGCCACTGGGATTGCAGCCGCTGGCTGGGCCTTCAAAGGCCTAGTCTTGCACACATTCCATGCATCAGGCCTCTAGTTGGTTTATAAAGAATATTGCCTTGATAAACCATTCATTCTAAGTGAAAAGAAATACAAACTTTCTCTTCAGGAATTACTCATCCATCTCCTATTATTATAGTTAAAGTTGCTGTCAGTAGTAAAGCTAAAATCCCATACTTTATGGCATCCTTTATTGAGCAATACAAAGAACTTAAAATTCAGTTTCTTCCTGTGTGATAACTGTTTTTCTAGCCTTCTGAGTTTTTCTGTTACTAAACATTCCTCCTTTTTATGGTATATTCCCCATATTACTTTGTTTTTAAAGAAGAGAACTTCAAGGATTGTTTAACATCTATCTGTCGTTCTTTGTTTCTCTTTGATGTAGATAGTCTCTCTTTTCCTTTTATCATAGCTTATAGATTACCTTCCTCAGGTTTTTCTCTTATTTCTAGTTTCTTCTGTCACGTGCTCTGTGAAGCTTTTCTTGGTCCTTCCTCTTCCCCTTGACTCCCTCGAGAGTTATACTATTTGTTTTGTCTTTAAGTAAACTTATTACAAATTAAATTACACACACACACACACACACACACACACACACACACACACACACATATATATATATATATATATATATATATTTCTCCCTTAACTACATATTGGCTACAATAACAGAATATTCCCGTTTCTCTTGATTATAAGGATAGTCTCCTTTTTTGGTAATTAAGACTGTCTCAGCAGTTTTTAAAACTTCAACATTCACTCCACTTGCAAGGATTATGAAGAGTGAGGGTGTCCTGACCTTCCCCTTCTTCCCTGTGTTGGGGAAGAGAGGGAGGGAAGGAAGAAAGGCAAATGTATCATTAAACTGGGTGAAGCTGTCATCTTCTCCTTTTAGGTGGTGGCTGCCTCTGGCTAAAGCTGACTGCTCATCACCCCTGTTGTCAGGCACTAAAAGCTGGCTCATTGCTACATGCAAATTCTTCCCGGCCCAGCCTGCTGGCAGCTCTTTGGACACACAGTAATTAGCATCTTTTGTGCTCAGTTTAGGCCTGAGGTGCCATTCTGGGACTCCGGAAACTCCTGTTCAGTCATCTGTGACATCTATTTTAAAGTCAGTGCTACACAGTAGCACTGACTTTAAAATAGATGTAGGAAAATAACCAGTCTTCCAAAAGAGGGCACGGTATTAAATCGTGCAGATGTTACAGAGCACTTCTTCAGGATAGCTTTCAGACGGATAAGTTAATTCTCTATCTTAAAGTAACTCAGCCTCTAGGAAACCTGGTGCCAGCTTGTCATTCTTTTGCTGTGCAAGATGTATTATCTAAATTTAAATGTAAATTAATGAAACACATAAAATTAAAAATAACTTCTTTTTTTTTTTTTTTTTTTATCAACCTTCACCCAAGGATATATTTCCCATTGCCTTTTTTTTAAAAATGAAAGAGTGGAAGGGAGAGAGGAAGAGGGAAAGGGAGAAATAGAGAGATGTACTGATGTTAGAGAAACACATCAATAAGTTGCTTCTCACATGTGTTTCAACCTGGAGATCTGAACCTGCAACCCAGGTATGTGCCCTTGACCAGGAATCGAACCAAAGACCCTTTGATATTTGGGTCAATGCTCTAACCACTGATCACACCGGCTAGGGTTACTCTAGTCACATTTTACATGTTCAGTTAACACCACGTGGTAGCAGCTACTGACCTGGATTGCACAGAACTTTACTATCATCGAAAAAAGTTTTTTCAGACACTGCTTCTCTAGAGGAGAGAGGTATGAAATTTTATTCTCTAGAGGAGAAAGATGGGAATATTTTTATTTATTTTAATTCTCATCTGAGGGCGTGTTTTTATTTATTTTAGAGAGAGAAAGGTATAGAGTGAGAAATATCTATGTAAGACAGAAACAACAATTGGTTGCCCCTTATCTGTGCCCCAACCAGGAATCGACCTGCAACCTAGGCGTGTGCCCAGACTGGGAGTTGAACCTGAGACCCTTCTCTCTCTTTCTCCCTCTCCCTTCCTCTCTCTAAATTCAATAAAACATATCTTTGGTTGAGGGTTTTAAAAAAAAGTTTTGGTAATTGTAATTTTTACAGATTGAAGATGAAGAGAGGAAAAAAATAGAACAAATAAAAGAAAATGAACGAATAAAAGCAACTAGAGAACTGGAAGCCTGGAAAAAACAACAAAGAAAAGCTGAAGAACAAAAAGGAACTCAAAGAGAAGATAAGTTACATCAACAAGAAAAGCAAATAGAAGAGGGAAAGAAATTAAAACATAAAAGTTTTCCTAGAAATTCGACAACTAGAAATCTTGCCACAAAAGGTACAATAATTACTTTAATAATTTTTTGGGAAAGTGAGTCCCGGTCCTGAAGTATATAGATTTTTGTTGTTGTTGTTGTTGTAATCAATTTACAATATTAGTTCATTATTTTGGCATATTAGGATAGTATTGCAAAAAAAAAAAATTAAGGTGAAATTTATTTTTTTATTTTAAGAAGTAGTGACTTTTTAAAAAATGAGCAAGGATTCAGTGTTCGTTTTGCTTATGTGCTTTCTTTTGAAATTTATGTAGGTATTGTTAAATATGTATTTAATTCAAATCCAAAAAAGTCTTGTAGTAGCCTGGTTGGTGTAACTTAGTGGTTGAGCTTCAACCCATAATACAAGAGGTCACAGTTTGATTCCTGGTCAGGGAACATAATTGGGTTGTGGGCTCTATCCTCAGTGTGGGGCATGCAGGAGGCAGCTGATCACTTATTCTCTCTCATCATTGATGTTCCTATATCTGTATCCCTCTCCCTTCCTCTCTGAAATCAATAATGTATATATATATTTATAATTTTTTTAAATTACTGGAGTAGACTGTCAGTGCCAGGAACATTCATTTATTCCTTCAGAGATAATAAACTAGGAATATTGTTAAAAGACCTTTTCCTCACATGACTCAAGAAGATGCATACTACTAAGCAAACTTAATATCAAGCAAACAAGAGTTCTTCTGGACTTGGATCCTGATGTGTTAAAAAATAGTTAAAAGAACATATTTCCTTATTGAAAGCAAAGAGGTTGATTTTTATTTCATCTTAGAATATTAAACTTTATTTTGTATATATTTAGCAAATGGAACATTTTGTAGTAAAATCACTAATGTAATTATCCTATTTAATAAAAACCCAATATGCAAATTATCCCCTTGGGCAGTCATTCACCCAGGAAACTGGGAGTTTGACCACTTACTATGAGGTGCATTGACCACCATGGGGTGGCGCAGAACATGGCAGGCTTTGGAGACATGCTGTGACCTCTCGTTGGCTACCTGGGGCAGGGGTGACGAGGAAGGAGGAGCAGTGAGAATGCGGTGTATCCGTCAAGCTCGCTCTCACTCCCTCTGATATCCTCCCCCGGGACACCAGGGCTCTTGTGCTGGGGAAGCCCCCACTTTCGAGTGCCTGCCCCACACCCACGCAGCCTCTTCTGGGTGAGCCCAGCCCTAGCCGCCCGGACCACAGGGGCCCGGACCACAGACACCCTGCTCTGCGAGGCTGTCCAGGAGAGAGCACACCGCCCACCTGGCTTCCATGTGGGCCCATGCTGTGCCCCAGCCTTCAGCATCAGTGGCACTGTGACTCAGAAGGAGGGGGGCACCAATTTTGTGCACTGGGCCTCTAGTATTAATTAACATTGGTGATCACTCTATGCCAGGTTTCTTATTGGATGTATATCACTCAGTCTTCACAACAATACTTTGTGATAAGTGCTGCTATTCTTATTTTAGAGGAAATGTTCAGAAAGGATAAACAAATACCTCATAAGTAAGCCTGTAGGATTTGAACCCAAATCTGTCTACATCTGAAACCTATGTTTTTTCTACTCAGTTATATGTCTATAACCTAACTATAACCTCTACTTTAACAGTGAGGTCTAGCATATTGAAAAGTTCTTTGGAGTGAGTATTAAGCAATAATCATTATTGATTTTATTGTGGTTTAATATTTACATGCAAGTTAACTTCCACAATATCTCCTTCTTTAATGACATTTCAACAAAATACGCCAACTAGAGTATATGAAAACATTTTCTTCCATATTTTAAATGCTAAACAAACTGGATGTTTTCAAGTATTTACTATTGGAAACTGCCCTAGCCGGTTTGGCTCAGTGGATAGAGCATTGGCCTGGTCAAGGGCACATACGTAGATGCAGGCTCCTTCCCTGCTTGGGCCCTGGTTGGGGCACATGCAGGAGGCAACCAATTGATGTGTTTCTCTAAATTTACTAATATTTTATAAGTGACTTTATGTTTATCTTCATATTGAGATTCACTTATATTTTAAAAATGTTTACTTATTGTCTGGTCAGCATGGCTCAGTGGTTGAGCATTGACCTATGAACCAGGAAGTAGTGATTCAATTCTCAGTCTGGACACATGTGGGGGTTGCAGGCTCTATCCCCAGTGGGGGCCATGCAAGAGGTGGCTGATCAATGATTCTCTTTTATCATTAATGATTCTTGTCTTTCTCCCTCTCCCTTCTTTCTGAAACCAATAAGAACATATTTTTAAAATGTTTACTTATTGAATTTTAGAGAGAAAGAGAAATGGAGAAGGAGAAAGAGAAACATCAATTTGTTGTTCCACTTACTTATGCATTCATTGCTTGCTTCTTGTATATGCCCTGACCAGGGATCGAACCCGCAACCTTTGAGTATCAGGATGATGCTCTAACCCAGTGTTTCCCAAACTTTTGACATATGTGTACCCCTTCTATAATTTTCGTAATGCTGAGTACCCCTCGTACTCTTGAGAACGTAGAATTAGGTGCAGCTAAGCACGATGCAGTGCATATCCCCACCAAACTCTGGTGCAATGCGTACCCCCACCAAACTCTTCCCGTACCCCTGGGGGTACGCGTACCACACTTTGGGAAACACTGCAACCAATTGAACTACCCCACCAGGGTAGATTCACTTATATTTTTTTCTTTCTCATACTGTCTTTGTCCAGATTTGATAGCAAGTTATCCTATAAACTATGGAATTTTTTTCTTTTTCTATTCCTTGAAACAATTTAATTACATATGAAATATATGTCATTTGAAGGTTTAGTAAAACGATTTCTAACACTGTCTAGGTATGGATTATTTATGGAATTACATTTAATTTCTTTATAATGACCAGTTATTTAAATTTTCTGTGTTGTTTTTTTTTCAAGTCAATGTTGGTAATATTTTTCTAGGAAATTATGCATATTATCTTTTCAAATTTATTGGCATAAAGTTTCTCTTATTTGCTTATCTATTTTTTCTATACAGATATCATTTCTAAAACTATTTTATTTTTACTTGGTCAATTATTGCAACATTTTGCAAATTTTTGTAGTCTGTTAAAAAAAAGTAATTTTTGGTTTTGTTAACCCTTCCTATTGTTTCTTTTTTCCCCCTGTTCCCTTAATTCCTGTGTTTGCTTTTATTTTGTCTTTTTTTATTTTATTTTTATTCTTCTTTTGGAGTTTTGTCTGTTCTTTGTCCAACTTGTTTTAATTAAGTTTTTAAAAAATATTTTAATACATGCATTTGAAATTATTTTTTCTTTTTATTAAATATATTTTAATAAACGAAGAGAGAGATAGAAACATCAGTGATGAAAGAGAATCATTGATAGGCTGCCACCTGCATGAGCCCCACTGGAGATCAAGCCCACAACCTGGGCATGTGCTCCGACCAGGAATCGAACTGTGACCTCCTGGTTCCTAGGTCAAAACAACCACAGAGCTATGCTGGCCAGGCTAGCTGCCATACTTTCAATAATGGATTTTTACATTCCTTCTTGTCAGAAGTATCTTTGGTTTATTTGTATAGGATTTTAGAAGTAGCTTTGATGGGTAATTTATTTAAAAATCATTTTGACTATTAACTAGAAAATGAGAACTAAATAACTAATACTGTTTTGAAGGGAGAAACTCAGAAAACATATTTTCTGAGAAGTTAAAGGAAGACAGTATTCCTGCTCCTCGCTCTATAGGCAGTATTCAAGTCAACTTCACCCCTCGAGTATTCCCAACTGCTCTCCGGGAATCACGAGTAGCAGAAGAAGAGGAGGTAGGTGTACTTGCTGTTAGTAAACACAGTAAAAATTCTTTATTTTTTATTTCATCTGTTCAAAACCACTAGTGTGTCTGAAATTCTTAAGTATTTATCAAACTAAAGCCATTACTTCATGAGTGTATTTTAGTATTTCCTTATGAGAAAAATATATTTTGCAGGATTATTTTTTTGGCTTCAGAATGCTAATGAGAGAACACTGATTTAATATGCAGCAGTCTAGCTTATTCCAGGAGATAAACTATTGCATGCGCCATTTATTTTATTAAATACACCATTTTCTAGAATAAATTTGTAAAGTTTAGATCAATATATATTGTGGTAAGAATAGATTTGGAAATTTATTATTAATATATTATATTACAATTAATTATTAATGTCAGGTATTCTAATGTTTGATGCTTTGGAATTAATATATTTCATTCATTTATAAGTTCCTGAGCTTTAAGATTTTAAATATTGTATCTTTAGTTATAGAAGCACTCACAACTGCATTTCTTTATGGTAAGGGGTGAACTGATACCTTTCTCAATTGAAAAGTTGTGGAAATAGCTAGGTGGCTCAGTTAGTTGAAGCATCATCCCACACACCAAAAGTTTGTGGTTTGATTTTCCTGGTCAGGGCACATGCCATGGTTGTGTGTTTGATCCCTGGTGGAGCACAGAAGGAAGGCAGCCACTTGATGTTCTCTCTCACATCAATGTTTCTCTTTTTCTCTCACTCTTTTTTCCTCTTTTCAGAACTAAAATCAATAGACATGTCCTCAGGTGATGATGGAGGAGGGAAATAATTTGTGTAAATAATTGAAGATACTTAAGGCATAACAATTTATAAGTATTATTTTTATTAAACAATGTATTACTTTTATATTATAGTCATTTTATTTTGTGTTATTGTAAAATATTTTTATAATTATAATTTTTTTTCAATATTGAAAAATAATAACAAGAAAAGTAAAATAACACATAAACTTCCAAATTTGGATGAAATTTGGACTAGAAAATTTTATATACTTAATCTTAACCAGCTAGTTAACTTTTTTTAATGCATAAAAATTAAAAATCACCTTCAAGTACTGTGTCAGTCTGCTCTGGCTGCTATAACAAAATACTATAGACTGGGTGTGGCTTAGACAATAGGCATTTCGTTCTGGAAGTTATAGTTATAGTTATGGAGGCTGGGAAGTCTAAGATCAGGGTGCAGGGGTTGGGTGGTGGAGAGGAAGAACATGGACTCTGGTCTCTTCCTCTTCTATAAGGACACTAATCCTATCATTTGGATTCTACCCTCATTACCCTCAATGGCTTCACCTCCAGATATCATCACATTGGTGGTTATGACTTCAACATATGAATTTGGGAGGACACAAACATTCACTCCATAAAAAATAGTATTTCTGTTTTTGCTTTTTTTTAAAAAAACCTCACCCAAGGATAGTTCTTTTTTATTGGCTTTTAGACAGAGTGGAAGAGAGAGGGAAAGACAAGGTGAAATATGTATGTGAGAGAAATATATCAATTGGTTGCCTCCTACACAAGCCCAGGCCGGGAGAAGCCTGCAACTGAGGTACGTGCCCTTGACCGGAATTGAACCTAGGACCCTTTGGACACTGTATCACTGAGCCAAACTGCCTAGGGCTACTATTTCTGTTTTTTTGTAGGAAGGTGGAAAATCTAAAAACTTCATTCTCATTTCAGTGGCTACACAAACAAGCAGAGGCAAGAAGAACAATGAATACTGATATTCCTGAACTTAGTGATTTAAAAGAAGAAGAAAAGAACCCAGAATGGTTGAAGGATAAAGGAAAGTAAGTTTGGACTCTGGCCATGAGATTTAAAATAAATTTATGTAACCAATAGTTTTTCTCACATTTCCCAGATATCTTGACATATATGTTTGTGTGTGTAGCTGTTAGGGAGAGATAATGCAAATAAACAAATTAGGTAGGCAGGGCATCCATATTAAAAGGTCAGATCAGCCTGGCTGGTTGAGCATTGACCTATGAAGCATTGGTCACAGTTAGATTCCTGGTCAGGATCATGCGCAGGTTGCTGGCTCGGTCAATGATTCTCTCTCATCATTGATGTTTCTCTCTCTCTCTCTCTCTCTCTCTTTCTCTCTTTCTCTCTCCCCCTTCCTCTCTGAAATAAATTTTAAAAATATATCAAAAAAGGGTCAGATCATATAATAAGTAAGGCTTTTATTTTTATTTTTTAAATATTTTAATGTTATAGAAATGAAAAATATCACATCTTTTATATTTTCTAATATCCCCTTTTCAATCACATTTTATATAAGTTCTATCTAATATTTCACTTAAAAACTTGTTTCTTAAAAATTAGAGCTTCTTTGATTATTCATATCCATATTTTAAAAGGTTTGCAAATTATCTTATAAATTGTAATTTTGTATTCAGCCAATCCTTTTCCCATTTACATATATGTGACTCTACATGTGAACATTTTTATACAATTATCAAAAACAATGAGTTCTGGTACATTCTGAGTGGCAATTTGAATTCATATTTTAAAGTAATTGTAGATATTATTTAATATATCTTACATACTTTTGTATTTCCTATTGCTGCCATAACAAACTTAGTGGCTGAAAACAATACTAATTTATTATCTTATCAGGTTTTTTTAAAGTTTCTCTTTAAAATTTTTTTTTTTTTTTGTTTATTGATTTGAGAGAGAAAGAGAGGAAGGGAGAGAGAAACATCTCTTTGTCATTCCATTTATCCATTCACTCATTGGTTGATTCTTACCTGTGCCCTGACTGAGGCAGCTATGACTGACAGATTGTAATTACTTTACTGTTTTTATGTTTTTGTGCCATTTTGCCTTACAGTCTTCAATTATGTAGAAAAAGAAAGAGAAGCAAAATAAGAGGACAAGAAGAGAGTTAAAAATTAGAAGTGATGGAAGAAAACTTAGTAACTAATGACATCCAGAGAAACAGAGCAAAGTACAGTTAATCATAAAGCCAAGTGCAAGCAGATAAAAGGAAATGTGAGAATTGTTAGAAGTGTATCCTCTCTAGCAATGTAATGCAGTACAGAAGACAGAAACAGTCATAGTAGAACTGATTCAGAAGCAATGTGTTGAATTTAAGCCAAAGGATGAAATACCTTCCTCTCCAGAGGCTGTGTTTTATGGTAGCCTTCTTTACTATCTAATAAAGAGGGAATATGCTAATTGACCCTCACGCCATCACAAAGATGGAGATGCCCACAGCCACTATGGCAGTGCTCAGTCCCCTCAGCCCCACCAGGGTGAAAGGCATGTGGCAAGGCCAGGCCTGCCTGCCTGCCTCCGGAGTCCAGCCCCCTAGCTGCCCAGGGCCCTCTCAGCCCCCCAGCTGCCCAGGGCCACCCGAGGCTCAGGTAACCAGGGCCAACCAAGGCTTGCGCTGCCGGCAGTGGCAGCAGCAGAGGTGAGATAGGGGCATTACCTTCCCCTGATTGCCAGGTCGCCTCTTGCCCCTGAGGGTTCCCGGACTGAGGGACCCCTGCCTCTAGTGCATGAATTTTCATGCACTGAGCCTCTAGTATTTACATAAGCAAAAATAACCCAGCTGTCCTTACAGTGCTGACCTTTCAGAAACGGTAAGGTGGGCATGTCTTTCAGACATGCAATAGCTTGAGGAAACTCGCTTCAGACATGCAATAGCTTGAGGAAAATAGCTTGAGGGCAGTGGTCGCCAAACCACTGGTGATCCATGAGGTCCGAAAGGTTGGCAACTGCTGCTTTGGGGATTATATGTACTCAAAAATGATCTTGTAGAAAAAGCCACATAGTGTTTTCATTTTCTTTACCTAGCCTTCCGGTGCTGTGTCCTAGCTTTAAATGTCAAATCTATCTTTCAGCAAAATACATCATCTTAGTTAATTTTACTTGTTCACGTAAGCTTTTTACCTCTTCCAGTTAACATTATGTGCCAAGAAGCTTTTTACTCAGAACATCTCACATAAAACAGAGTCTAGGTGCTCTTATTTAGCCATGACATTATTTACAGCCTTATGTGACTTAGAGTCTAAATAACTTTAATTGCTATCCTTCCAGACACTTGTAATCATACCAGGTAGATGGACCATTGTTCTGTCCCACTGACATAACTCTGTGAGTGATTTTTATCAGAAGGTGTTTTTTTAATTAACCCTGTCTTAATCCCAAGCTTCAAGTCTCTTTCCCCCCCACAGTAGAATCCCATCTGCATAACTCCCCCTTTACAGTAAATTCCAATGTTAGATAGGAGGGAACTAAGGACATAGAATCAAGGAATAATTCTATAATTTAGCATTCAGCATCGTGGTACTGTTGCTGCATAAGGTCGCCTACCCTAATTCTCGTGTCTGAATTTTCTTTTTATTCTCTTGGCCATGTGCCAGATTTGGTATGCCAGTCCTCTTTAGAGTGAGGCTCTGCTTTGCTCTTTCTCTTGCCACCCAGGCTAATTCTGCTTCTGAACCCCCACTTTGTATGTAGCAGCCTCCTATTTGCTGACAGACTAAACTAGTACCAACTTGTCTGAATTTCTGTATGATTGCAGTTTCCGAATCTTCTGAATATGGATTTTATCATCCTGTCTGGATGTCCTTTTAATTTATGTCGGGCTTTTAAGAAATTAAACTCATTGAGGTATCATTGGTTAAGAATATAATGTTATAGTATTATTGTAATGTAATAATACTATAACATTATAATTTGACATCTGTATACTCTATTGTGTGCTCACCACCCAGTCTGGTTTCCCTCACGCTGTAGTTTTTGATGCTGATTGTCTACTACCTGCTACTGTCTTCTCCCAACACAGCATTCGGTTCTACTTGCCAAATTGAATTTCTTTGTAATACTTTGGTTTGGGTCCATGCCTTGGCAAGACAGTAACAGTTTAATGGATGCTGGCAGAAGACAGGAGACTCATGTGTCAAAGACAAAGGACTTTATTGTTCGAGGCATGGCGAGCAGTATGAGCTTCATTCACATTGGTTCCTTTTGCCTTTCAAGACTCACAGGCCATCGCAGAGGTGGGGCTGAGCGGATGCTATACATACAGTAGGTTAGCACTACAGCGGAAGGAAAAGCACAGTTTTCTATAAGATTGTAAGCAAATCTGTCCAACCTTTGCTTTGCAGGGAGGTATTGTCTATATCTTACTGAGCAACAAATCTGCTCTTTGCCCCAGAAGGAGGCACTATCTTTGTTTTTCAAGGTTGTGTGCTGTACAAAGACTAATAGTCCCAAACAGAATCTGTCGTGGATCTGACACAAGACATGCAGGAGACTCACAGAGAACTGCCTCCCAACAGCCCCAGACCTGCCTACTTTTTTAGTACAGATCTGCCCGATATACCGTGCTTTGCTGCATTTTAAAAGCTCTGGTTTGTTTATGATATTTATGCTGCTACCTTTTGCCTGACGGAAAGAAGTTTAGATTTCATATTCTAAGGTGACTTCTTTGATGGAATTATTATTCTGTTCAGTTGCTTGTTTATATGGGTCTTACAGCCCATAATATTGTGTTTCAGTGCACCCATTATGGCCTGACTTGTCATTTTGTTTTTATGCAATATCCTCTTCCTCCTTCTATCCTGAGTGCTAAATTGCAGTGGTTGATGTGCCTAAGGCACATCAGTCAGTTTTAGGAGCTCTTGAGATACCCAAGTGTATTTTATTCCCAAACAAGATTTTGAAGGAGACAAGGATTTTCAAAGTCCTCTGAGGGACAGGTGGGTGCTACAGTTCCCAATGCCCACAAAACAAAGCTAATTTGTCTTCTGTTGGAATGTGTTGCTCCCTGTCCTTACTCCAGTCCGTAAGCCCCACTGCTTCTGATTTCCTCTCTTCTTTCCTTCTATTACTTCCCTCCACTCTGCTTCTTTCTTAGCACTTCTGCTCTTGTTGCTTCTGCCACACTCAGCTGTTGTACAGAATGTTTGGCACTTTGGGCCATTGCCAGTTAGAATGTATGTTTCTAAAAATTAGAGGAGTTTGCAATTGTCCGTGTCTCTTGAGTACATATGTATTACATGAATGAGTGCTTTTGCATAATTCTTTTCATTAGCATTGCCTTATTGGGGGCATCTAGGTAGACTTGATGGTTATTAGCTTCTCTGTTTATGTATCTATTATTTTATTTTTTAAAATAAATTTTATTGATTTTAGAACGGGAGGGAGAGGGAGAGAGAGATAGAAACATCAATGATGAGAATCATTCATTGATCGGCAGGCTCCTGCACGCCACCTCCTGGGGATCAAGCCTGGAATCTGGGCATGCGCCCTGACGGAGAATCGAACTGTGACCTCCTGATTCATGGATCAACGCTCAACTGCTGAGCCACGCTGGCTGGGTATTAGCTTCTCTGTTTAAATTTGGTATTCAAGGAGTATTTTAGAAGAGGTTTAACTTTTTTTCCTCTTGAAATTCGACTATTTCTGAGTTCAGACCATTTTTGGTTATTTAAAGTAGTTCTGAACTTTAAAAACTGTAGTCCTGCCGGGCTGGTGTGGCTCAATGGTAGAGCATTGACCTATGAATCAGGAGATCACAGTTCGATTCCTGGTCAAGGTTCATGCCCTGGTTGCAGGTTCAGTCTCCAGTAGGGGGGATGCAGGAGGTAGCAGATCAATGATTCTCTCTCATCATTGGTGTTTCTTTCTCTCTCCCTCTTCCTATCTGAAATAAAAAAAATAAAAAAAGTAAAAATAAAATAAAATAATGAATCATGTTTTTAAAAAATAAGAATGTAGCCCCAGCTGGTGTGGCTCAGTTGGTTGAGAGTCAGCCTATGCACCAAAAGGTTGCTGGTTTGATACCAGATCAGTGCATATGCCCTGGTTTTGGACTCAGTCCCAATTAGGGAGTGTGCAGGAGGCAGCCAATTGATGTTTCTCTCTCATTGATGATTCTATCTTTCTATCCCTCTCCCTTCCTCTCTCTAAAATCAATAATATATATATATATATATATATATATATATATATATATATATATTAAAAAAGCTCAGCCATAATTTGGGCTGTGTGCTTTCTTCATTTGTATCCAGGAGGAGGAATTTATCCAATTTTTCATTTTCTAATTTGAAAACAAAGTTACAGGCTTCATTCTTTTTTTATATATATATATTTATTGATTTCAGAGAGGAAGGAAGAGGAAGAGAGAGATAGAAACATAAATGATAACAGGGAATCATTGATTGGATGCTTCCTGCATGCCCCACACTGGGGATTGAGCCCACAACCCAGGCACATGCCCTTGACTGGAATCAAACCCGGGGACCTTTCTGTCTGTCCGCAGGCTGACGCTCTATCCACTGAGCTAAACTGGGTAGGGCGACAGGCTTCATTCTGAATAGACCAGGTTAGATCATAAGACCATTCCTGAGTCAATCATTGTAGCAAGGAGGATGGATACGTGTGTATGAACTTAAACTACTTATAGCTACCCTTGGAGATAGGGGTGAGGTCATGCTGATTACATCCTGATGTATATGGAGTCAGTATAGCCTATAACCTCCATTATACAGGGAATAGAAAAGGAGGTAAGCCATCCCCTTTGCCAAATATCATTAGATATTATTTCTGTGTTTCTGTTTCAATATTATATTGTTTACTTTTATTTTGTTTTTGTCTCATTAGCAAATTGTTTGCAACAGAAAACTATTTGGCAGCAATCAATGCATACAACTTAGCCATAAGACTAAATAATAAGATTCCACTATTGTATCTGAATCGGGCTGCTTGCCACCTAAAATTAAAAAACTTGCACAAGGCCATCGAAGATTCTTCTAAGGTATATATATTTATCTACATATGATACTTTAAAATTGTTATATTCCTATTTATTGGTGTGAATGATGACCTTAGCTTTCATGTGTCAAATTTAAATAATGGAGAATTAATTAAATAATAAAGGATTTTAACAATCATTTTGCATAGTACATCTCTTTTTCTGGAAAAAAAATTTTTTTTGCATGGACAAGTTTCCTGAGTCTTCAAGTTAAATTAGAAATCCCCTATCAATTGCTACTAAATTGCTCTGATCTATCAGTTGAAATTCACATGGAAATGAGTAAATTGCTGGCAGTTTGTGCTCACCCTTTTTATTACTAAAATTTTGGACACACAATACAAGATGGAAGGAAGAACACTTGGCATCATTGCCACTTGGACAGTAAAAGCCTGTGCCAATAATTTTCACATTTTCAGAGAAACTTAGTGTATCTTTATTTTCATGACTGATATTATGTCATTATCTTAAACTGCTAGTTTTTCTTGTTTTTCATATCAAAGTAACTTGTTTTAAGGGGAAATCAATGCAAAATCTCTTATGTGGGTCCTTGAAATTGAGGATATGGAGGAAACGACTAAGTCCTCATACTCTGATCTCATTAAGCTACTGAACAACTGACAATGTTTTAAATCTATTTTTCCTTTTACTAGAACAATTTGTATATAAACAATAGTTATTGAATAAATGAATAACTGAATCATTTAATTTAAATATAAAGAGCCAAAAACCGCTATTTTATCATTCTTGTTAGTAGAGAGAAAGATTTAGAGGTTTCAGATGGCAAAACATATTAAAACTTTGGAGCAGAGGAGGTATGAGTCTCATATAGGAACAATTGAACAATTCCTTAAATTGCTCAACATAAATATATGTATTTAATAAACTCCTATGGTAGCTAAGCCAACAGTTTAGGTGGGTGAGAGTTGGAGGCTTGTTTTTAAAGTTAAAGTTTTTACCATATTTTTGTTCAGATTTGAATTAGAAAGTTACGTTTTTCCCTTATTACTATTCTTACTTTGTAAGGCACTAGAATTATTGACACCACCTGTTCCAGACAATGCTAATGCAAGAATGAAGGCATATGTACGACGTGGAACAGCATTCTGTCAATTAGAATTGTATGTAGAAGGTAAGAAAATGAAAGAAATATTTCAAGTTTCAAATTATACTCTGGAAAAAATGTTATTGGGCTCATTTATGACTAGGACTCATTGTTTTATATTTTTATCACTTAATTTAATCTTTGTAACGTATCTGACAAAAAGTTATTTTGAAATATTGTTTAAAAGATTCTTGTATAAGGGAGTTAGAACAAGATGGGGGAGAGAGGGGAAGAAGTGGGGAGGAGAGACTTGTTGTTCCACTTATTTATGAATTCATTGGTTAATTCTTTTATGTACCCTGTTGGGACCAAACCTGAAACCTTTGTTTATTGGAATGAAACTCTAAGCAACTGAGCTACCTGGCCAGAGCCCATTTATTACTTTTTCATTGAGGAGATAAAAATGTCCTTTCATTATATTACTTTTATTGATTCTGTTCATGCTTTAATGAATTTAAGCTTTAGCTTGTTCTTGAATTTTAAATAACTGCTTTTTACTGAATTCTAAATGAACTTATAATTATTCCCCAAATCACTGAAAAATTTCTGCAGTCTGTTAGGGCTACTATCATACATGTGAAGATGTGAACTGATTTAAAGCCTGGTACTGGTCCTGAACCATATTCTTAGTGGTAATTTGTATTTTTTTTAAAATATTATCTAAGCCCTGGCTGGTGTGGCTCAGTTGGTTGAGCATCATCCCATGCACCAAGAGAGTTTGCCTATGGGATTCCTGATCAGGGCACATGTCCAGGTTTCGGGCACTATCCCCAGTAGACAGTGTGTATGAGGCAGCCAATTGAGGTTTCTCTCTCATCCATGTTTCTCTCCCTTCCTTTCTCTCTAAAAACATATTTTAAAATATATATTTAGCCGAAACCGGTTTGGTTCAGTGGTAGAGCGTTGGTCTGTGGACTGAAAGGTCCCAGGTTCGATTCCCATCAAGGGTATGTACATTGGTTGCAGGCACATCCCCAGTAGGGGGTGTGCAAGAGGCAGCTGGTCGATGTTTCTCTCTCATTGACGTTTCTAGCTCTCTATCTCTCTCCTTTCCTTTCTGTAAAATATCAATAAAATATATTAAAATATATATATATTATCTAGATAATACAAGTAAGTATTTATGAAATATTTTCTTGGTCATTATTGCTATATAAATATAGGCCTACAGGATTATGAAGCTGCACTTAAGATTGATCCATCCAACAAAATTGTACAAAATGATGCTGAGAAGATTCGGAATATAATTCAAGGAACAGAAGTAAAATCTTAATGACTACTGGAAACAATTAGGTACTATAATGGGTTTGGTTTAAAGTTTTTTCAAAATAACTGGAGGCATTGGGAACCTTTGTACACATTATGGGTAGTTGTGCAGAATCACATTTTATTGCTCTAGTTCTGTTGTAAGGAAAATATTGTAAGTCTATAGAAAATAATATGTTTGAGAGTTATGGTTTCTGATTAAGTAAATCAAAATAATCTATTTCAATTCTTTATCTCTTTATATTAATATATAATTTAATTACATATTTTTGTTACTGAATTCAGCTTGCCCTTATAACCAATAAAATATATGTTGGTGTGATGATTACCAGGACACTTACTGATTCACTTTTAACAAGGTAGAATTTTAAAATTAGAGATTGTTTATAAGCATTTTGTCTGTATTAAATATGCTATTTAATTGTCTGAATGGTTGACCTTGGTATTGATGTTTCCAAGTGCACAGGACCTTTTTTATTTTTCTTATACTCACCTAAGGATATTTTTCTGATTTTAGAGAGGGGAAGGAATAGGGAAAGACAGAGAGAAACATCAGTGTGAGACACACATTGATTAGTTGCCTCCTGCATGCCCCTGACCAGAGCCAGGAGCCTGCAGTCGAGGAAAGTGTCCTTGACCAGAATTGAACCAAGGACCACTGAGTCTGCAGCCAGACATTCTATCCACTGAGCCAAACCAGCGAGGGCTCTTTTTTTTTTTTTTTTCTTTCTTTCTTTAATGTCTCCATCACCTGTTGTTTGAGGTTGGGTCAGTCCAACCAAGTAAAAGAGCTACTTGGAAAATTTTATTTTCATATTCAAACACTGTCTGGTAAAGATACATTTTCTAGTACCTTCAAGTACCCCAGGAAAAAGAAGAGCAGAAGGTAAAATGTTAAGTTAGAATGTTATTGGCAGATGTATGTGGTAAATCAAATCATAAAGTTGCTTGGCAAACATGGAATGGGAACAAAGGAGAATTAGTTTGATGAGTGGAATGTTTTATGGCATCATGGATCCAACTCTCCGCAACAGGCTTCTTTTCTATGAAGAGCCTCCACAACTCGAAATACTTAGACTTATCACAATTGGATGCAAACAAACAAACAAACAAAAACAAGGATGGACTTGGCACTTGTCTTAAGACTTTGGCAACTTTGAGAATTCCAAGTGCTAGGTGCTTACGTAGGGGTGGAGAAACTTTTCTTTAGCCTCGTGGTTCTTTTGGCTGGTCTAAAAATCAAGTAGACATGAGACAGATTACCAAGAGAGAAGGAGGCCTTGGGGACAGGTTCACGGGATTTGTCTGGGACGAACTGCTGTAGCTCATTGCTGTCCTGGTCCCTTGAATGTAGGAGATGCATGTCTCTTAAGGAAGTATAATAGAAGGGGAGGCTTGGGTGCGCTCCTGGGAGGGAGAGCATGTGGGACCTTCGTTTTGAAGGGTTTTAAAGGCTGAGCATTTAGGGGAGGTCTTATGGGAGGATCTCAATAAAACATTCATCAAAATGAGGCTTATTCTCTTAACTTCATTTGTCCTTGGTTGGCAAAATGACACTAATTGGATTTTTGCTGCCTCCCTGAGTAGGGTGATTTAAACTATTTACTTTCTAGTTGGGGAGGAGAAGTGCAAACCATTTACTCTTAAGCATCCCTGGTTTAAGGAAGATAGGATTTCCTGGATGGCTACAAACTGCTTGGCATCACGATTTTGTAGATGGCTGCAAACTGCTGTTTAACTCTCTCCGTTTCCTTATTCTGCTTGTCCTGACTTTACTAGCCTGTTTCATCAGTTTGGTTTTTGTGGTGGCAGGCAGCTGAACCTTGGTTTTGGTTACTGCAACAGCTGATTCTCCTGATACAGTCCCTTCACTTCCTTCAGGGCTGTGGTCAAAGCTTATCAGAGACCTTCCTTGACTTACTACCTAAATTAACTTCTTGCCTGAGCACTCCCTCTCTCCTAACCCTATTTATTTTTTTCATAACATTTATCACCTGGCATGTTTCATACATATAGTCATATATATATATATATATATATATATATATATATATATATATATATATTTACATATAACATATATGTATAAAACATATAAAATAAACGCATGCATGTTATATGTAACTATATATATATATATATATAAAAGGCTAAGTGACTGTCCAAGTGCAGGGTAGGTATGACACGCACTGAACTCCAGGAGGCAGGCGCTCAGCACAGGAGCTGCCGAGCTGCAGTGACGTGGCAGCAGCGGTTCTCGGGTGACACACCTGGAACCAGTGAGGAGTGAGCCCGATTCCTCGCGGCCGTGAGATTCCACCTCCGGCTGTGGGTTAGTTGTTGCTGGGGCACTGTTGGCCTCAAATCTAGTTTACTGCACACTTGTGTTTGTGTTCCACACCCTGTACGACAGCAACTTTGCAGAGTGTCCTCTTGCACTCCGGGACCCCTTGGAAGATGTTAGAGAGCTGGTTTCGGCCTCACAAGCCAGGCTGAGGGACCCCACCTGCCAGAGGGATCCCACTCACTCCACGGACGCCCTTCCAGCCATGGCTCCACCTCAGGTGTGCCGGCTGGGGAGGGACTGCATGAGTTTGGCTCCAGGACATGTCCAGCCCTTCTCACCCAGTCATCCACCTTCTAAATAATTTCCTTTCAATGTACACAAATCCATGCACTGGGCCATTATTATAGATATATTTACATGTAAATATACATGCATAATTTGTAAAATATTTGTCTACATGTATATAAATACATGTTTGACATGTATGTATAACTATACAGGATGTCCACAAAAATGTACACACACTTTAACAGCTGATAGCTTAATTTTGAAAATAAAATGCTTTAATAAGCATTGCCTTCATAATTATTCAAAGTGTGAGATACATTTTTGGGGACACTCCATATAAATAAGTATTTTAAAATATTTACATTATATACATATACATATTTATACATGTTTTTACTAGTTAATCTGTTTTCCCCTAATAGGACTTATTAGAATTTAAACTCCATGAGGGCAGGCTCTTAGTGTCTTGTAGTCCTTCGACTTTAATAGGCACAGAATGACTGCCTAATGGCATTCCAGACAATATGCTCAATTTGGAGATATTCATATGAGAATTTTAGCAATAACAACAAAACATAAGGCCTAAGCACCAGCCATAGTAAAGAACATTAGGGTAATAACTATATATTATATATTAAAAAGTTGACTCCACTTGTTACATTTTGAGCATCTACAGAAGAGAAAATGGTTTGTATAGTTTAAGTGGAGAAAAGGCTAGTATATTCAAATTCTATTGCTTTGTTTTTCTGAAAAATCTTGTGCAGAGCCTCAATTTAAAGGAAGTGAACAGGACTAGTTTTTCTTCTTGCTTGAGCCATTACCAAATAACAAATGTGGGGGTGTCTGAAAGAATTTCGTGAAGCTGCAGTGAGTGAGCTCTTTCCTCACATCAAACCATTTATGTAAATAGGTGGTCAAGCTTTTCTGATACCCTAGTGACTCACAAGATTATTCATTCTAATTGACGTTAATATCCTGAACCTAAAACAAAGAGAAAAATAGAAACAGTGACAGTAACAGCTTTTTGGTAAAAACAAAAATCCTCTTTGGATTTCTTTCAGTTAGAGAAAATGGGTACTAATGTAGGTCATTTGCAAAAGTGAATTGGTGTAACACAAACTTCCAGAAGTATTTTAAATAAACATTGCTTTTATAATTATTCAAAGCATGTTTATACATTTTTTGGGACACCCCGTATAAACATAATATTTTAGAATATTTTATTCCCCAATGCCCCCTTTCTCTTTCTCAGTAAGCCAAAGCAGGCCAGCCTAGGCACAATTCCCCACCTGGTCCCTCCCCTATTGCTTCTTCTATCCTGGGCCCTTCCTTGTTTCACTGACCTCAGCTTTGATAAATGTCTTCTAAAAATCACCTGGACTCATACTGTGAAATCTTTCCTGCACGAAGTCAAGAATCTACCCACTACCAGTGGCCCTAGGCAGACCTGCTCAGGGCCAGGTCCTTTCTGGTAACAAAACAACAAAAGACTGTCTTTAATTTATGTTACATTTACATAGTATAGTGTCTGTCATAAGTAGGTGTTCAATAACTACTTGCTGGCCCAGCCAGTGTGGCTCAGTGGTTAAGCATCAAGCTATGAACCAGGAGTCACAATTCGATTCCCAGTCAGAATACTTGCCTAGGTTGCGGTCTTGATACCCAGTGTGGGGTATAGGAGGCAGCCCATTAATGATTCTCTCTCACTATTGATGTATCTCTCCCTTCCTCTCTGAAATCAATGTAAAAAAAATAATTACTTGCTAAATGAATGAATAACAAGTCCTTTCACCCTATCAGGGTAGCTCAGTTGGTTAGATCGTTATCCCGATTCACCAAGGTTGTGGGTTAAATCTCCAGTCAGGGCCCATACAAGAAGCGACCAATAAATATATAAATAAGTGGAACAACAAATTGATGTTTCTCTCTCTCAAATCAATTTTTATTTATTTATTTATTTATTTATTTATTTATTTATTTTTAAAATATATTTTATTGATTTTGTACAGAGAGGAAGGGAGAGAGATAGAGAGCTAGAAACATCGATGAGAGAGAGTCATTGATCAGCTGCCTCTTGCATACCCCCTACTGGGGATATGCCTGCAACCAAGGTACATGCCCTTGACTGGAATCGAACCCAGGTCCCTTCAGTCCCCAAGTCGACACTCTATCCATTGAGCCAAACCGGTTTTGGCTAAAATCAATTTTTAAAAATGTCCTCTCTTCCATGAGCTTAGCAGAGGGAATTAACATTTCTCCAGGTTCTAAGCCATTACTTGAAATAACACACAAGTGGGAAATTACTGGTCAGAGTCTTCCTTAATTCAATCTTTTTCTTAAGAGTTCCTGTGTTCCTTTGTCTTGATAAATATAGACAAAAGACAATTTAGATCATGAAAGTTTTTTTTTTAAGATTGTGGAATACATGGATTAAATAAAGCTAGGATGTACAAAAATGCTTCTACCTGTTATTCTGCTATTCTAATATTTTTAAGAAGTCACTCAGTTATTAGTTGAAATACTTTATTTCTTGAAGACATTTTTTAAAAATTAAAATCTTTCCATATTCCCAATTAGGTATTCTAGCCTTAGACTTAAAACTCATTTTTTTTTTCCTGAGGATATTTTCTGTTAAATATACAAAGGAATATATTTTCATAGAGTATGTTGAAAATTAGGAAAGTCAAGGGTTCTAGTTCTGTCAGGTGCAGTATTTAGAGTGTTATTTTGATAAAGTCCCGTAAGTCTGATGTGTCTTGAAAATTCTTGCTCTTTTGGAATATAAATGCAGGGGAAAAACTGTGGAATAGGTAAAAATTCACCATAAGTACTTGAATTGGTTTTATACATAATCATCTTGGGCTCTGATAGTGAGGTAGCTGTATGGAGTGTTTTTGGATCCAACATACATGAAAACACAGGATTGCCAGGGTTCACACAAGTAGGCAGTTGTTGAGGTTTCATTTCTGTGTCTGAAGTTGAAGCTAACGTACTTTTCTTATCCTAAAATACAAACACATAAAATCATTCTCAATTATAAAGTTCTTGGGGGGGACCCCAAAACTATTAAAACTTAGCCCCAGCCCTAATTTAATACCACTCACAAAATTAACTTAAAAAATTAACTCAAAATGAAGACTTAAATGTAAGGCCTGAAACTGCAAAACTCTAGGATAAAAATAAGAAAAAATATTATTAGTCTTCACAACAGTTATTTGGATATGACACCAGAAGCACAAGTAACATATGCAGAAGTAAACAAGTGGGACTATATCAAACCAAAAAGTTTGTACACAGCATAGGAAACTATGTACAGAATGAGACAACCTACAGAATGGGAAAAATGACTGCAAACTATATATCCAATAAAGAGTTAATTTTTAAAAACTATATTTTATTGAATTTTTACAGAGAGGAAGAGAGAGGGATAGAGAGCTAGAAACATCGATGAGAGAGAATCATCCATCAGCTGCCTCCTGCACACCCCCCACTGGGGATATGCCCGCAACCAAGGCACATGCCCCTGACCAGAATCGAACCTGGGACCCTTCAGTCCACAGGCCGATGCTCTATCCACTGAGCCAAACCGGTTTTGGCAAGGAGTTAATTTTTAAAAAAAAATATAAGGAACTCATATAATTCGAAAGCCCCAAAACCCACACAAAACAATGAACCGTCTGATTAAAAAATGGACAGAGGAATTCCAAAATGTCAGCAGAGTAAGTGGAAGCTACACTTACACCCTCCCAGGACCAAACTGGAAATACAACTAAAATACAGAAAAACTACCCCCAAAAATCAACTGAAGATGAACTGGAGAGAACCCTGATGACCACGGAGGGAAAGTGGAGACTGCATAGAGACTGGTAGGAAGTACAGAGGCATGAAAGGGCTGGTCGGGCTCCCACAGACAGCAGCTGAAGCTCAGGAGGGATATCTCAGCTGTGGGGGGAGTTCCCACTGAGAACTCTGGGATCTAAACCCCAAGCTTGGCTCCCCAGCCCAGAGCACCAGATTTGAAAGGTGCCCACATAACATCTGGCTGTGAAAAGTTTGCTGCCTGACAAGGAGAGATGGCTTGAAATACAGACACCCTCTTAAAGGGCCAATGCATAAAATTTTATGTGCAACCATTCACCCTGGGCTCTAGCAAAGGGAGGGCAGAATGGACTGGAGGTGTGTGAGTAGAGCCCAGGGTTGGGGGCTTTGAGGTTGGAGCTCAGAGGGCAGCCACCTTGGTTTACTGTGCTGAGTCATTCAACTCAAGCTGCTGAGGACATCTTTCTCTGGCAGAACTTGGTTATCCAAGTGGTGTTTGCTAGGGCAGTGTTTCCCAAAGTGTGGTACGCATACCCCCAGGGGTACGGGAAGAGTTTGGTGGGGGTACGAGTTGCACCGGAGTTTGGTGGGGATATGCACTGCACCGTGCTGCACCTAATTCTACGTTCTCATGAGTACGAGGTGTACTCAGCGTTACGAAAATTATAGAAGGGGTACACATATGTCAAAAGTTGGGGAAACACTGGCCTAGGGGAAGGCAGTTTCCCCACTCTGTTGGAAGTCTTCTCGCCCCACACTTTGGTCAATAGCCTGAGGTTAATCAGTATTAATCCTGCTGCAGGTAGAGGTGGATCTCTGGAGGCTGGGGCTAGATAAAGCAGACAATGGTGCATATCTTGGTCTTTCCAAAGGCACCCAGCCCCAGCAGAGAGAAACACAAGTTGTGGATTGTTGAGAGCTCCCAACAGAGTACTTAGGGCCAGTCACAAACAGCTCTGACATTGTCCTGCACTAGAGGTTTGGAGTCGTAGCAGACCTACCTCATACACAGACACAAACCCATACAGGAACCCAAAGTGGCAAGACAAAAAAACAAGCCCTATAAGCAAGATAATTCTCCAGAAGAAGAACTAAATGAAATGGAGATAAGAAACTTATCAGATACAGTGTTTAGAATGATAGCAAGGATGCTCAATAGCATGAGAAAAGATATAGTAATGATGAAAAAAAACCAGTCTGAAAGGAAGAATGACATAACACTAATTAGGCTTCTCCTAATCTACTGTGGAAGGAATACACAGTAGATTAGGAGAAGCCAAGGATTGAATTTAATATTTAGTACACTTTTTCTTTTCCTTTGTTCAGATTTAAATGATTATCAACCTATGATCCAACCCTTCATCATTATCATTTCCCCTTTGTATAAAAATTGGTTTTAAAAATCTGCCTTAGTCTGTACTTATGGAGATATACTGGGGGGGAAAAAATAGATGTAAAGATAAATTGCTTTTTTGCACATTTACCTCAATGCTTTTGTATGCTCTTCCAGAATTCAGTTCTGAAATTTGCAGGTTAACAACACTACATTAGTATACTACAATCTCTATATATAAAAGTCTAATATGAAAAGTGTCCCCTTGGGAGTTCAGTCGTTCGCTCTGATGTGTGCTTACTGCCAGGAGGTGGCACAGAATGAAGGAAGGCCCAGGCAGGGAAGGGAGGTCCCAGCAAGCAGCTGGAAGGCCAAGATTGGCCCCGATCGCTGGACCTTACCCATATAATAGTCATATATCTTATAGGAAGCTGGCAAAATTAGAAATAGAACTCATCAGATCTTGCTCTTTATTCTTTTTGATGCTGCCTATTAATTTTTAATTTTTTTTTAATATCAAGAGCACAGACATTGGATAATAATAAACTCCCAGCATCCTATGGTGTGTCAACAGGACAGCTTTTCTCAAAATGTCTAGGTTTCCTCTGCACAGGGAAAGCCTCTTAGGTGGAAGTCCTGTGATTTGTGGGGAGAAGTACCAATTCTTATTTATTTTATGGACACCCAGTCAGGTTGCCCAGGAGAGCCTTATTCACAGAGGACTCTCATCAAATCACCCTCTAATCTTGGTTCTAAATTTCAATCAGCTTTGATGCAAAATGTAATACAAAAAAAAACCCCAATTATAGATGAAATAGAGGATAAGTTAGCCGATAAACTTTGTTGGTATAATTCAGTGGTTGGCATACTCATTAGTCAACAGAGCCAAATATCAACAGTACGACGATTGAAATTTATTTTGAGAGTCAAATTTTTAAAACTTACATTGTTATTAACTTAATTAGGGTACTTCTAAGCTGGCCTTTGCTAAAAACTCAAGGGGCCAAAGAGCCGCATGTGGCTTGTGAGCCACGGTTTGCCGACCACTGATATAATTTATATCACACAATATGGAAATTAGTGTCTACCTAAATCTTTTAGACCTCCGGGATAATTCACAAAGGTTTATAGACTTAGAAACAAAATACACATTAATTTTTTTGTCATAGGCCTTCACTGCAGCTTTCTATTTGGGTTTCATCTTCCTCAAATCTTATATTCTTAAAACGTGGAGTTCAAACTATATACAGTTTAAAATAAAACTAAACAAAACAGTCTAATACAAAGAAAAATAAAATGATTATTTTAAGTTCTGTTAGTTATGTTAGTTATGCAAAAAAACAGTCAGCAACTGTTTTTTACTTAAGGATAAAAAGGTAAATTAAAATTGTAAATGATTATTTTAAAATTGACTATGTTTTAGAATTGGCCTGGGAAAGAATACAAACCTACAAATAGATAGATGGCAGTAGCTTTCTTACTCATTTAATTTGTAAGGCTTTCCTAGAATTAGAAAAAGCCTGGCCACTTTTATTTTTCAAAGTACTTCAGTATAAACATATTAAAAAAATATAGAAGCCATTGAAATAATAAAAATATTTCTTAGTCTTAGCTTGTTTGGCTCAGTGGATAGAGCGAGGCAGGGTTCCGGTTTGATTAAGGTCAAAGACACATGCCCAAGTTGCAGGCCTATCCCCAAAGGGGGTGTGCACGAGGCAGCCTATTGATGATTGTCTCTCATCATTGATGTTTCTCTCTCTCTCTGAAATCAATAAAAGTATATTTTTAAAAATATTCCTTAGAGAAGCTGTAATTATAAAATTATATTTTCTTTTTTTGATGTCACAGTTGATGTTAACATCCAAAGTAAAAAACAAAAACAAAACAAAAAACACAAAAAGGGATAGATAACTTGTTTGAAGTAATAATGTTTGAGACACCCTCTTATTTCTGTTGAGGCCCACCATCTTTCTTGTTAATGTTTTTCTTAACTCCCCTACCCCCCCACACACACAACTGGGGGACAGTTAAACCTTAGCTTTCTAGTTTCCATCAACAGCATGAGTGCACATATTTTTGTAGCTTATGTCTTTATTTGAGCAAGGTAAAATGTAAATAAATGCAAAATGAACAAGGTACATTTTTTTTGTTGTTCAAAGCCATCACCTCATGGTTTGCAATAGGGTACGAGTTACATACCATCCCCAATCACCTTTATACCTTCACAACAATTCTGGCTTAAATCAACATTGTACATTTGCATCTGTGTAGCTCAGTGGCTGCCTAGGAAGTTTTTGTTTTTGTTTTTGTTTTTTAGGGTGGATGCCCCAAACTGAAAGCAAAGTAGACCAACATTCAAAAACATCCAGCCCTTTCTCTGGGTCTGTTTTTGTTCATCAGTTTATGTTGTTCCTTATTTCCTCTAGATGTGTGAGGTCATGTGATCCAAGAAATACCCTTGTAAGGACAATTAGGTGAGACATAATCAATAAAATAAATAAAAATATTAAAACACACACACACACACACACACACACACACACACACCATCATCCAGCCCTCTGTCCAAACCCACTGAGCCATACCGGGTCATTCTCCATATCTCTCTTTTTTCGTCAAAGGCAGTCTTTTTCTTCAGCAGATGACGAGAAGGCCAAAGGATGCGGCTTTTTCAGTACACCCAATTAAAGCCTGAAAGAGAAGGGAAAACGTGGGCCAGCGATCAAAACCCCTAGCTGTCCTCAGGGCTGCAACCATGAATCCTTTGGAGCGACTGTAGTAGCCCGTCTCCATAGCAACCTCGAGCGGCGCCTCTCCGCCTTCGGAGCGCCCGGACCGGATGTTGTGAGGCTTGCGGCTTCCTGCCGCCTCCCCGCCGCGGGCTGCGCTGCTCTTCGGGAGTCGTAGTTCTTCCCTCCGCTGCCGCCCGATGTAAGGCTGGGGGGTGAGACTACGAGTCCCAGCATGCGCTGTGGCGCTCCGTCCGTCGCCTCCTCCCGGGAGCGGACGCCTGCGAGCAGGTTGTTGTTTTTATAAGAGGCGTCACTGGGCTCGGAGCTGTGACCAGCGCCACCGCGACAGCCAGCCCTTGGGGGCGGAGGTGGCGGTGCCCCTTCAGGTACGGCCCTGGGTGGGTTTTGGACCCCAGGAGAGGAGTCGCGGCCATCTGTCAGGGCCCTGGCTGGCACCCGCGGCTCCGACGCCTGGCGGAGGCATTGGCGCCGTCTCCGCTGAGGCTGAGCTCCGAGTTCGACTCCCGCCGCTTGGGTGCGTGTGGCCGCGAAACCGGAGTCTGCACAGAGCCGGTGTCGCTTCCTGCGGCGTCGGGTCTGGTGGTCCTGCAGCCTCCGACTGCCACGTGCAGACCCTGCGCTAGAGGTGCGGGGGAAGCCTGCGGCTCGGGGGCCCTCCTCCCTTCGCTCGGCTGGCTTGGGGCTCCCTTCGCCGGGCCGGGCTGGGTTGGGTGAGAATCCATATGGTGAGATGTTGTGTGCGTCACCCTGCCGGGTTTTCAGCCGGCCCGTCTTCTTTTCTCTTTGGTGACGTTAGAACCCCGTGATGCCAGGAATAGAAACATTAAATATTAAATGATGCAGGTGAGATTTCTCCTCGTACACCAGGCGCTCCATATCCTTGTCCTCCTCCGGCGGCCCCCGTCAGCGTCGGCCCGCCTTTCTAATGGAGAAATCTCTGGGTTAGCTATCCATGTAGTAGTGCCTTGCAAGCCTTACATGTTTTCCTTGTTTAATGAGTCCAACTCTGCCGTTGGGAGCGCCAGTGTTAACGAACTCAGTCCATTAAGGTACTTTGTTGCAGGGATGAGATTTATACTGCTTTGTTCCATCTTTATTGAAAAAACAAAAACAAAAAACGGAATGGAGTTTGCTTGCAGCTAGAACAGGCATTTCGAATTTTAGATTTGCATTTTCCAGTAAGGTCGCATCCCTTGGATAGTGCTTGTAATGTCACTCTTAGCCTCTCATATTCTTTGGCTTAAGATTTTAATATTATTAGGCCCCAAATTTTCGGTTTTATTTATTACACCATCCTAGTGTGAATGGTTTATTATTCGTTCCTGAGCTCTGAGCCTAAAAGGGAAGGGAAAGAGGAAGTTGGGGATGAGTGGGGGAGGGGGAGGGTGTAATTATTTTATTTATTATTTTTATATTAATTACTTCATTACCTATCATAACTTGAAGTTAACAGAATTCTAATTCTTTTTTTTTTTTTAAATAGGTTTTTATTAAAACATCAGTGATGAGAGAGAATCATTGATCGGCTACCTCCTGCACAACCCCTACCGGGGATGGAGCCCACAACCCTGGCATGTGCACAGATGGCATCTAACCATGACCTTCTGGTTCATGGGGCCATGCTCAACCAGTGAGCCACATGGGCAGGGAAGGCGGTTATTCTTTTAAAGTATAATTTTAACCCTTTACCTAAGGATGGGATCTAATTAAAGAAGCTATTAAAATCATTTACAATGTTTAAAATCATTCTTAAATGTGTTAAGTATTATTTTTTAAGTAAAATAGGTTAGAGAATAGTGCAATTCTAATTTTGTAAACTACATAGAATGTAGAGCAAGTATATGCGTTTGAAATGTCAATGTTAGAAACGTTTAAATCTGTAGAGTTTTTATGAGTTTGAGCCAAATTGAGAGTTGCTGGGAAGCAAAATCTCAGGGGATTGAGAAAATGCTCCTGAGAATGGGAGCTTTGCACCTTACTTTATACATTCTAATCAAAGGAGGAGGAATAAGGATTACATGAAATCCATTGATAACAGAGGATTAGGAAGGTGGGAGAAAACAAAGCAGGGGAATCTTGGGATTGGATAAAAAGTAAAACGAATAGACATACACTTTTACACTTTTGTGGATATAGGATTACTAGCAGTTAACAACACGGTAACAATAACATGAGGGGTTTTGTGGTCTGTGCTCTGATGCAGTGAGATGGCTCGTTAAAAGGAAATTAGCCTGACATTGCAAAGGGTGGGGGGAGGGTATAATTATTTTATTATTTTTTATATTACTTACTTCATTACCTATCATAACTTGAAGTTAACAGAATTCTAATTCTTTTTTTAAAAAAAATCTCCCCTGAACGTGTCAGGTTTAGTATGTGGTCCCTTTTTGGTCCACAGAAATAAGACTGAAAGGATAATTTTAATTATAAAAGTGAAATTACAAATAATTTTTTATTTTTATTTTTAAATACATTTTTATTGATTTTAGAGAGGAAGGGAGAGGAGAGAGAGATAGAAACATCAGTGATGAGAGAGAATCATTTATCAGCTGCCTCCTGCTTGCCCCTACTGAAGATCAGCCTGCAACCCTGGCATGTACCAGGAATTGAACTGTGTGTGACCTTCTGGTTCATAGATCAGTGCTCTACAACTAAGCCATGCTGGCCTAGCACAAGTAATTTTTTCTTTATACTTTCTGGTATTTCCCAAATTTTTTTATAGAAAGAGAACTTAACTTAAAAATGGAGATAGGTGTACCAATTCTAGTTACCAAGAAAAGCAAACTTATTTGCTAGTTATAAAGAAAAGCAAACAACAAAAAATGTAAAATAATGGTTGAAAGGGACAAGAGTTCATTTGTTGGACTGGAAAGGTAAAAAAAAAATGACAATAATTCTTAGTATTTGTACAACTCATCTGATTTTGCTCTGTTTTCACTTCGTAGAATAAAATAAAAGAAAAATCAGCTAAGCATTTCTTCAGTTAAGGCAGTGCAATCTTGATTATTTTTATAAATCCATCAGATGATAAAATATGGGGATATTAATCTCAAAATATATCCAGATCTGGATATAGCAAATCTGTCATTTGTTACTTTGTAAGCATTTGACAGTGGAACTATTAAGCAGTTATTATAAAATTGGAATTTTAAATTTGTTTTCATTGAATCGCTTTGAGTACTATGTTTTATATGTTTGATATTTCGAATTTTTGTTAACTTTTGTTTCCTATTATAAGTATGTTACAGTATGTAAGTAGCATATTATTAAGCCCTCATTTTGTTTTTGTTTTTGTCATACAGGAAGGGCCATATTGTTCTATAGGAATAGTCCCTTTATTTTTGTAATTATCAGCCTTGAAAAATTGGGGTTTATCTCTTTCCCATTTTACTGTGTTGGCTCAATATCTTAATAGATATTTGGATCCATTTATAGGACATAAGCCTTCATGTCTGATTTATGAACTGTTCACAGTATTGTGGCTCAGGTTGCATAATTGTATTCTTATCCAAATTAAATAAGATTTCTAAAAATTAAGTATGTACTGCTAAGATCGTGGAAGTAGCCCTTTCTGAGCATGTAAAGAATGTGGATACAGCAGCAAGGCCTGTAAGCCCAGGGTGTTTTAAAACAGAAAATGCAGACTCATCTAACACTGCGGAACTATTAGAGGCTGAATTGTTTTTGTGTTGGTGTGTGGTTAAGGTGAGGAAGTTGCCAATTTTAAGTGATAATTTACGTTTTCAAGAATTGTCTTCCTGGCAGTTCTGCAATTTTGACTAGATTAAAACAGCTAAAAAAAAATATGGGTCAGCTTCAAAGATCATGTCCAATACACTTGAAAAAATCTCAAATTGAGTTCTAAAATGAAATTTAGCTCTGTAATATGGGGAGATTACAGCTAACTGATGAATTTTGTGATTTTTATTTTAAGGGCATTTAATGTGTGGATACCTGTTTAAAGGCCTGTAGAGTTTTCTGACAGAAATATTAGAAAATGAGTTAAGTGAGTAAAAGGATTTTTTTCTGTCATTACGGGAAGTCAAAATAATTTTTCATTAGTACTTGTCTATAAATCACTTTCCTGAAACCTTACTTCTGGTTCATATTGCCAGTGCGATGGAATGTAAAAAAAAAAAAAAAAATGGATTTGGAGTCAGATGTTTAGTTATGTTGAGCAAGTACTACAGTGTTTTGGGTTCCTGTTGTTTCCATTTGTGTTGTAAATAATAGCCAGTTGCTTTACTTCATGGGGTATTTGTGAAGATCAATCAGATATGAAAATGTTACCAATTTGTAAGAGTGACTCATGTAAAGTATTAGCCTTCTAGCATTCTCATAAAGCATATGTATTTGAAGTGTGATGACTCAATGCAATATATACTTTTTTGACTGGGAAGTTTGGAGAAGAGTCAAAGGTGATCTTCATTTGATATTTCTGGTAGAGCTATTTGGCGGGTTTTGATTGAAGGAAACTTGGCTCCTCTCCTGATTGTGACTTTGCATTCTGCTGCCTTAAAGGTCCTAAAACTAAAGTGTGCTTTTATGGTTGTGCTTTTAATATTGGTTTTGATTTGTTTTAATCGCATATCTAAAGTATAAGGAAGATAAGTCTAACTTAACAGTAGACAGTGGATGTTGTTTGTAATATTTTAAAATAGCACTTTGAGTTGAACTGGTCCTCAGAGAGAGATAAATTCTATGTGTGAACACTGGTCTTTCAGTGTAAGAATTAGTTTAGGCTTAGCTGGTTTGGCCCAGTGGATAGAGGGTGGGCCCTGAGGACTGAAAGGTCCCAGGTCCCATTCTAGTCAAGGGCACATGTACCTTGGTTGCAGTCTCTGGTG